TAATCTCTGAAGCATCAAGCTGGGCCTGTCTGTGTAGCTTTCAGTCTGTATTATTTGTTTAACCTCTTCATATATTTATAATATTAGAATGTTGTTTTCCTTTGTATAACCACTACTTATCCATGTCAATACAGCCTGTATTATTTGAATGAACTGATAACTACATTGGGAAACCATGGGTTAATTTAGTGAGTTGATAACCTGATTTTAGTCATCATAAAGAACGATACAAGACCTTGTTTCTGCTGTGCACATTATTTTACGGAGGACAGGATACCGTTATAGACACTTTTAACAAATAATTAAACATTGACACGGAGAGTAAAAACTTATGGATGAGAGGCTTTGTGTCCCACACAGTTTTAGATAGTGAGCTCACTTTAACGACTGGCTGTGAGTTTAAAATCGGACCATTATCTAAAGACCTTTGTCCCTTTCTTTCTGTTTTGATGTCCCCGGCTTACAACAATACAGCATTGATAGATAGGCTTTTGGAAGGCCTGTGGCTTGGACAGCAACAACAACTCATAAAAGGGTTGCTATAGTGATTAATCCCTGTTTAAACAATGGACATTACTGTCATCTACTATAATTCTTATTGAGGCAAATCTTGTTATGTGTGGAGTTCAGGAGAGTCCTGAATGCAAAAATGTGGCTAACAGGTAATATAACAATATCAGCTTTATTACGACTTACCAAAACTGTTGCAAGACACAGTTCAAACATAAACCAACAGAAGATCAAACAGCACAACACCAAATCAGAAAGGCAACCGTACAGGTGGCCAGTAAACAGTTAAACTGATGTCTAACAAAGGGGGGACAGGAGTCTAAATACACAGGGAATTAATGAGACTCTGGTCAACACAATCAAGAGGCATGTGACAATAACAATGCTAGAAAAAAAAACAACAACAAAAAGCAGGAGTAAAAACGTGACATGACGCACACAAAAAGATAAGAAAGAAACACTGACAGACACAGACAAGAAAGCCCAGGAGACACAAGACAAAAGAGAGCAAGACACAAAGAAGTATGAAAAGAGAACCACATAATGGGCAGACCACAACAAAGCTGCCAAAGATGTGTTTCTCATACAGTCGAGCTGCTGGGATTCTTTATGTTTGTCTTTGGCAGAGATTCAGAGGCTTAAACCTTTGGACACGTGCACAGTAGACGGAGGAGGTCGTTTTAAAATCTGGAACTTTACAGCTTTCAGCAAAAAAAATTATGGCACAGTAAAAAGTTAGCATGACTGAACACACAACCGAACACACGCATCCAGCTGTCTCTGGAAGCGTAAGTCTCACTGAGGTTTTGGGTGTTGAAAAACAGCAGCTTGGAAAAGCAGCCTGTGCTGTATAAAAGTGAAATGACTGCTCTGTTGTGGTGCTGAGAACGATATGTCCTAGTACACTTAAGGTTAACACAGTGCCAGAAGACGTCTTCCCTGCCTGTGGTCTCCCTGAATGGAGGTCAGTGTGACCCTCAGTTACCTCCAAAGAGGCCAACTAGCTGAATGTCATGGGTTTGTTTTTTGTTTGTTTTTTTTT